CTACGTCTCCCATCATCTTCTGCAACTAAAATAAACGAAACATTAGCCTCAGGAATAGAAAAGGGAACATGTGCCCCATCTAGAGCAAAAAATACCTGTTCCTCGAGGTATGTTTCGTAGTTCAGGCTTCGACTCACCTCGCACGGCGTCCATGAAATTGCTGCAGAAAGGGAAAGGAAGGCGCATTTACGGAACCTGCTTGCGCCATAAGCAAAACTACGAAGGCACAAGTATATCACTTACGTGTAAAATTCCATTCCTCGGGAAATGGCAGAAACTCCATAGGGATAATATCGATAGTCCGTACTCGGACGAATTGGCTCATCCATCCTCGATCCCCGTCTTCTCCATCATCAATAATGAAAGGCGTGGCGGATCGGCATCGTAGGGTCAGCAGACCCCGATGGTGAAAAGGCCGATACAGCCTGATGAGATGACTAAGAGTGAATTTGAGCCCTGCCTCTTCTGCAAAAAACCTAATCATCAACACTATCCTCCAAATGCGCCAAGGTAACATGGTATTTTCGACATAAGTCAAGCACAACCCTATCAGGGGGCCCTAGCGTGAAGGGGTACGTGTATACGTTCAAATAAACCCCTCAGCATGATCCATGATGCTCTCTCCCGAGGAAAGTGCCTGCAGTACTACCTTTTCCCCCCATCCAAATTCTTTCCTCATTGACTCAAGGTGCCCCTCTCTTACTAAAGAAATAAACTTCAAGACATACTCCCAATGACCCCAAGCATTTTGGTTCAAAAAGCCTTCAAGGGCGGAATTCTCCTCTCCTCGCCAGGCGGACCTTGGTGTGGCAGCCATAACTGTGATAAAACTAGAAAATCCTATCAAGGCCTTCAAATTGAAATGGTGAAGGTCCTAACACAGGAAAGGAAAGCTCTATAGAGGAGGATGACTACTCGGAATAGCAGAATCCTCAAAAGAAGGAATACAACCCTTTATTTGGAGAAAGCGGCGACTATCCGCCTGCCTCAAAGGTCAATTAAAGATGCTAACTAAGCCATTTCTCTCTTTGGGAAGATGTACCAATGGAACTGCCTTGGTAGCTTCATAGCCACGTCATGAAATTAACGTTGCCGTATGATATATCGAAAACCCCACATCGTTACAATCCTCGAGATGGTACCCGATCTCGAGGACTTTTTATCAAAAAGAAGATAGGCTCCAGAAAGCCATTGACATTATTACAAGCCTCGAGATGGTACCCGATCTCGAGGACTTCTATCAAAAAGAAGATAGGCTCCAGAAAGCCATTGACATCGTTACAATCCTCGAGATGATACCCGATCTCGAGGACTTCTATCAAAAAGATGATAGGCTCCAGAAAGCCATCGACATCGTTACAAGCCTCGAGATGGTACCCGATCTCGATGACTTTTGTCACAAGGAAGGTATGCTCTAAGGAGCCATTTATATCGTTGTAAGCCTCGAGATGGTACCCGATCTCGAGGTCCTCTTCCAAGAAGAAGACAAGCTCTAAAAACCTACTCATATGGGTTTGACCTCACGGTGGTACCCTACCTCGAGAATTTCTGCTATCGCAAGTGCGGATTGCTCAAATTCCCTTTCGGATCAAGTTAAACATTTTCTCAGTTACTTTAACCTAGGGACTATTCAAGCCCAGTCGTACCCTCATCCGGGGTCTATCTGCAACGGCTTGGGGCTATATTCCCTCTAAGTTCAAAACAAGTTTCCAAGTCGCCGGATCTTGAGCGAACATTCACTCAAGTATCGTTTTCGAAAGCCTACAGGCTACCTTTATTCCCAGACATCTGAGCAAATCCACCCTCGAGGACTACCACAGGGGTCTGAAAACCTAAGTTTTGTTCTGAAAGTTCGAAGCCCTATTCTCATTCGACTCGAAGTCTGGTATCCTGATGACTCGAGTTTAACAATCCAACCCGGGTTCGGTCAGTCGGTAGAATCACGCATTCAGATTCTTCACAAGTGCAGAAAAAGGGATTTAAAGCATAAATCAGAGAAAAATTGAAGAAACATCTTTTTCATTAATAAACAACGATTACAAAGCCCACGAGGGGTCCTTACACATGATTGCAAAGCCCATAAAGGGTCCATATACAGAAACAAAGAGGCAAAAGTTACAGCTAAAAGTCTAATCTACTTTCAGGGGTACATCCTCGGGAGCAATGCCTTCGAGAATCATTTCTTCGGGCCCTCTCCTCGACCTTCCAAACGGCGTCTTCAAGGATGAAGAAGAAGCAGAAAAAGACGAAGAAGTGGCTGGGTGAAAAGTTTGGCGAGTATGGGTCTCGCCAGCGCCACTATTGTGAAGCCACTTCTTGAGACATTGCACCGGTGCGGGATGCAACCGTTAGTAGATGGTACCACCTCACTCCACGGAAAGCAAAAGGAGTGAAGTGCCGCACCGGGTAGTTAAGAGAGATGAGCACAAGTTCGTAGTCCACATGCTCTTTAATGCAAAAATAATTTGAGATTTCTCTCTCATTAAATCGGGCCAACAACAACAACAACAAACCAGTGCGATCCCGCTCAGTAGGGGAAGGCTCTGGGAAAAAGTCATGGCATAACTGATGGGAACACTGCCATGAGATCCTATGATCACAGGCTTTAAACATGGCGAATGGATTTGGATGAAGATGAAGAGAAGAGAGGAATAAAAGGCTGTTGGAGAACGATTGAATGAAGTTTTGATTCAAGAAAGCTTCCATTTATAGAAAGGAAGAAGCGTAACCAGCAGCGCAATCAATGCCTCTGGGAAACGTACCGACGGCACAATCAATGTCTTTGGAAAACGGATCAACAGGCACAATCAATGCCTATTGGAAAACGGATAGTCGGCGATATTATCTCCTTGAGAAAGTAAACTGACTCTGCGTCAAATTTTCCTCGGAAAGACTTATTGATGGGACGTCTCAGCTATCGCAAAAGTTGACGTCATAAGCATGACATCATCACAGGAGGCTCGAGGGGACCGGTGTTAAAATCATTTCTTATCATTTTATTCTAAGAAACGCGGGGACTATCTGTATACGGTAAAAATCAGAGGGCTCGATTTTATGATCACTAGGGTGCCTCAAAAAAGACCATCCCCGGAAGGCTCGACATCTAGCTCGAAGTTTGCCCCCGAGTGTTCACAATGATTGACCTCGAGGCAGTGCAAACCAACGGCTGCGATGCACTAGCGGGTTCCCAAGGCATATGATCAAAGCTGACAAAACCTGCAAGGGAAACACTAGTCTGTGCCAGACTAGTAAGTAGTTGTGCCGACTATACTTCTTTGTAATAATTACTCATGTACTATGTATGGATTTCCCTCCATATATAAAGGGGATACTTTGCATTTTGCAAAGGGGAGCTGATACTCAATATTCAGTACAAGAACTTTCTCTCCGCCCTCTAACTTAACATATGGTTTTGTTCTTATTACTTCATCTATTACTTACATTTATTGTTCTTCATTTATTGCTTATTATTGACCATAAAGAGCCGCCATTGATTTTATCATAGCTATTATTCGTCCATCGACTGCCCACGGCAGGTCATCAGACTCGACCTCGAGACCCCAAATAGGCAAGCTCGAGGCCCCGATTTCAGCCAATTGGTTTGGTTACCGCTTTGTTCTCAAGCTCTTATCTCATTTTCTTATCTCTTAGTTAGCATCTATTGCCTAAACAACTAGCATAAAAATAGATCACGTATTTTTAGAACCACAAAATCCAATCTAATTGTAATTACCATTTTCAAGGTAAATAGGCCTAGTTATGGCTAGACAAGAGGATACAAACAAATCAGTAGATTGTGCAAGATAAACATAGTGAACCCCAATATAGTGAATTCAGTGTTGCAAATATGACGTCATAATCCTTGAGAAATATTTAGATAGGAGTTGGGCTAGTTAAAGGTACCGTAATAGTATTACAGAAATAAAAGGGAGTGCCACTTATAAGACAGTCAAAAATTTCAGTTCATAAGCAACCCTACGAGAACAAGGGCACGGAGGTCAATAAGTAGGGATAATTATAGGCGACCAAGTATGGGGATTTCATGGAGCAGGTCGCTTAATATGGGCGCAGATGTAAAAAGGGCACGAATGGGAGCCACGTGTAACCTCCGTCTAATTAAGGATACATTTGTTAGGATAGTAAGACGGCAGGGAGTTTTATGGCCCAATAATATAACGGGGGACATCTTTAAACAATTTATCATAGTAGAGGGACAGATCAGACCCTTTTTCCGTTATAACAATAGGTGCCAAATTTAGTGATAAAAAAAGTCTTTTCCTGATCGTCCGAGTCCATCCGAATTTGGTTGTACCTAGAATATGCATCGAAAAAGCTGAGTATCTCGTGCACGATCGTCATGTCAATCATGCGATCGATGTTAGGCAAACGAAAAGAGTCCTTAGGGAACGCCTTGTTTAAGTCCTTGTAGTCTACACACATTCTTAACTTATTTCCTTTTTTAGGAACTACTATTACATTAGCTAACCAGTTTGGGTACTTAACTTCCCGAATGGACCCTATTTTAAGGAGTTTAGATACATCGTCTTGTATGAATGTATGCTTGACCTCAAATTGAGGTCTCCTCTTCTGTTTAACCGAGTGGAACTTCGGGTCCAAACTCTGCTTATGAGTAGTCACCTCTGGTGGGATTGTCATGTCAAGATAGGACCAAGCGAAGCAATCTTAATTAGCTTTAAGAAAATTAATGAGATTTTTTTAGCTCGGGGACTAACCCTGTGCCCAGGTATACCTTTCGATCCGACGATTGCTCAATCAATATGACTTGCTCCAACACTTTGACCGTTGATTTAGTGGCGTCGGTATCATCAGGAGTTATGAATGATCTCGAAACTCAATAATCATCCTCCTCATCGACTCCCCTCAATCCGACCTGGACCGGCATAGGTGATTGCTATTTTACTTCAGCCCTTCTGTTCGGCGTCGTGCTCTTTAATGTCGAAACGGCGGGTACCGGGAGTACTTCATCAACTGTGAACATCTCATTTGTAGCTGGATGTTCTCCGTATACCGTCTTGATTCCTCCTAGTGTAGGGAACTTCAACACCAGGTGCAAGGTCGAAGGAACCGCCCTCATGTTGTACCCATGGTCTACCGAATAGAGCGTTATATCTCATATCTCCTTCGATCACATAGAACTTGATTTCCAGGATTGTCCCGGCAGTGTTCAGCGGTAGGGTTATTTCCCCATTAGTGATTTCGCATGCCATGTTAAATCCGTTCAACACCCGGGCTGCTGGCACTATTTGATCTTGTAACCCCAACTGCTTCACGACCCTTAATTTGATAATGTTGGGCGAGCTACATGGATCAATCAACACACGTTTAACTCGAGACTATTTATAAGTACGGATATTACCAGTGCATCATTATGAGGTTGAACGATGCCCTCGGCATCCTCGTCGTTGAATGAAATGGTTTCCTCCGGTATATAATCTCGGGTTCATTTTCCCTCATGATAAATACATTAATGTGTTTTATCATCGGACCTCGAGGGAAATCAACCCCTCCAATGATCATGTTGATGATGTGTTGAGGTTCCTCCTGTTCGAGCTGTTTGCTGGCGTCCCTGTTTTTGAAGTGGTTCTTGGCTCGATCACTCAGGAATTCTCGTAGGTGCCTGTTATTAAACAACCGGGACACTTCTTCTCTTAATTGCCGGCAATCCTCGATCTTGTGTCCATGAGTGCCATGATACTTACGTATCAAGTTAGGATCTCTTTGGGTAGGGTCGGACTGTAATGGACGAGGCCACTTGGTATTATTGATGCGCCCGATGGCCGACACGATACTGGCAGCATCGACGTTAAAGTTGTATTCTAACAATCTCGGTGCCTTCCTGGCCTTGAGTGGCCTATCAAAACCATTTTTGCTGATTAGACCTCGGCTACTGGGCCCTTGATCGCTTCTTCTGTCGTTCCTTAGAGGGTGACGTTTGGACCTGTTTCCAATTCGATCTCCGCTTTATGGTTGATATCGATCTCGAATTGGACTTGATTATTGATCAATAACTCTCTTAGGTCCGTCGTCGGTTCAGATGGGATAAACTGACCCAGAAGGGGCTCCGAATTGGTCGTCCTCGAGTTTGATTTTTTACTAGTACCTATTGAGGACGTCGGCCCAAGTTACCGCTGGGTACTCTACCAAGGTTTGTTTCAGCTACTGCAAAGCCAAGGAGCTTTGGGGGTTAAGTCCCTGAGTTAATGCTGAACAAGTCCAATCGTCTGCAACCGGAGGTAAATCCATCTGTTCTATTTGAAATCTTGACACGAACTCCATGAGCATCTCATTGTCCGTTTTCTTGACCGTGGAAAGATCCAATTTTCTGGTCTCGACCTTGATTGCCGCGGGATGAGCATTTACAAAAGCATCCACGAGCATAGCGAAAGAATCAATGGAATTTGGGGGCAAGTTGTGGTACCATATCATTGCTCCTTTTGACAGAGTTTCCCCGAACTTCTTCAATAATAGTGACTCGATTTTGCCGTCTTCCAAGTCGTTACCTTTGATCGAGCATGTGTAGGAGGTCACGTGCTCATTTGGGGCGTGGTTCTGTTATATTTTGGAATATCGGGCATACGAAACCTCTTCAGGCTTGGCTTCAGTGCCGCGCTCGGAGGAAAAGGCTTTTGGACAAATTTCTTGGAGTCTGGGCCTTTCAATATTGGAGGCGCTCCTGGGATTTGATCGAACCGGAATTATATGTCTTTACCTTATTGTCGTTTGCCTCAACTTTCTTTTACCTGACTCCACTGTCACGATCCGGAATTTCCACCCTCGGGACCGTTATGGCGCCTAACATTTCGCTTGCTAGGCAAGCGAACGTTAGAATAGTTTTAATCATTTCTAACAAATCAAATTAACCGATGCCAATTAAATTGATATAACTGTAATAGAACTGAAATAAAGTGTGAAAAATCATAACCACAGAAATATCTAAATAAAACCCAAAATTGGTTTCACAAGTACACGAGCGACTAGAATAATACATATACTGGTCTGAATGAAAGTAAAACTGTGTGAGAAGAAGTAAATAGCTAGGATAAAGTAGAGTGGGACTTCAGGGCTACGCACGCCGAGCAATTGTACCTCAAGTCTCCGACTGATGTCCGATCCGAGCAACCTACTGACCGCCGTTGGGACCGACTCCAATGTCTACAAAAGAAGTGCAAAGTGTAGTATGAGAAAATCGAGCCCATGTACTCTGTAAGTGTCGAGCCTAACCTCGACGAAGTAGTGACGAGGCTAAGGCGGGTCACTTACAATAACATGTGCGCGGCATAATAATAATGGCAGGAAAGGAATAGGAAAAATAAAGTAGTTAACTCATGACAATAAACTCGATTCTTGAAAACCAGTGAAACCAAAAATACCAAATCCTCAGAATCTCGTATGAAAACAGCGAAGCAAACACAATACCACAAGGAATACGAAACACATAAACCGTTGCGGCGTGCAACCCGATCCCACCATACAAACATGATCCTCCCTTATTCCTTTATGTAAATATCAATAATAACAAGTAAAAATATGATGCAGCGCGCAACCCGATCCCACCATTTAATCAGAATCAATATCATAATCCTCCCTTATTTCACCTTTTGCGGCGTGCAACCCTATCCTACCATATCAATTAATGAAATCACAAGAATCTCTACGATTAATGAATATGAGAGCAGATCCATAAGGAAAATCTCGTACCAAATCGAGAATTGCTAAAGTTAATACTAAGCAGCAAGACAAGTCAAATAAATGACAACTAAATGGTACAAGTAAGTCAATTAAGGCAAGTAGCAATTAAATCATGTAAGCATGGGAGAAACTAACATTTTAATACGAGAATAAAAAATGACAAGTAGCAAATTAAGGCATAAGAAGCAATTAAAGCATGTAACAGTTAAGACATGGAATAAAATAATTAATGAAATACGGAAATGCATGGAAAGAAGTATTTTGACGGCGTATATACACTCGTCACCTCACATATACGCCACTACACATGAATTTCACATAGCACCTAGCTTAAGGGTTCTTAATTCCCTCAAATCAAGGTTAGACCCAACACTTAACTTGCCTCCAAACCAATTGAATATAACCAAAATCGATTCAATAACTTCAAATAATGCTAGGGAAATCAATTACAATACATAAATTTAGGATCTTTACTCTTTTCCCAAAAAGTCAACAAAAGTCAACCCTGGGCCCACTTGGTCAAAACCAGAGATTCGGACAAAAATCCATTTACCCATTCACCCCCGAGCCCGATTATGTAATTAGTTTCAAAATTCGACCCCAAATTGAGGTCTAAATCCCAAATTTGCAAAAAAAAACATAATTCTTCCTAAATTCCTAATTTTCTACCATGAAAGAACAAATATTAAGGCTAGAAATTAATGGGTGATGATAGAAATGAAAGAAAATAAGTTAAAGTACACTAACCTATGTAAGGGCGATGAAATTTCTTTTCCAAATCGCCTCTAGGCCAAGCTCTAATGAAAAGATGGTGAAATCTCATATTTGAAATGTATTAAGGTATGTGCGTCAGGCCTTCTTTGCGTTCGCGAAGGGGCTGTCGTGTTTGCGATGAACACCGGCCCAATTGGCCTACACGTTCGCGAGTTACACTTCGCATTTTCAAAGTCTTACACCCACATGTCCTCGCGTTCGCGGTCATAGTGCCGCATTCACGAAGAGTACCGGTTCGTTCCCCCTTCCAAGCCCATAGCCCCTACGCTTTCGCGAGAAGCTGGTCGCGTTCGCAAAGGGTAAATCCCCCAATGCTCCGCGTTCACGACAAGCTATCACACTTGCGATGAAGAAAACCACCCCAGGCCCAGCTTACCATTCGAGATCGCGAGAGTGGCTTCGCGATCGCAAAGTACAAAGAACTAGGTGACAACAGAAGCTCAAAAACCAACAATCTTTTTAAATTCAAATGATCCGTAGCCTATCCGAAACTCAGCCAAGCCCTCGGGGCTCCTAACCAAACATGCACACAAGTGGAAAAACATCATACTAAATCGCTCGCACGATCAAAATACCAAAATAACACCTAGAACTACGAATCGAACACCAAAATGAATGAAATTTTTAAAGAAACTTAAGAACTTTCAATTTCTCAACCGGACGTCCGAATCATGTCAAATCAACTCCATTTTGCACCAAATTTTGCGGCCAAGTCATAAATACCGTAATGAACTTATACCATGTTCCGGAATCAAAATCGAAACCCGGTAGCAACAAAGTCAAACTACGGTCAAACTTATGAATTCTTTAAACCTTTAAGCTTTTAGTTTTCAACAAATTAAGATAAATCAAGTTAGGGACTTCCAAATTCGATTCCGGGCATATGCCCAAGTCCCAAATCGCGATACGGAACCACCGGGATGGTCAAAATACTGATCCGGGTCCATTCGCTCAAAACTTTGACCGAAGTCAACTCAAATGAGCTTTAAGGCACGATTTCACATTTTCATCATTTTTTCACATAAAACCTTCCAGAAAGAGACACGGACTGCGCATGCAAATCGAGGAAGGCTAAATGGAGCTATTCGAAGTCTCGGAGCACAGAAATAAAAGATAAAATTATAGATGACCTATTGGGTCATCACATTCTCCACCTCTAAAACAAACGTTCGTCCTCGAACTAACATAGAAAAGTACCTGGACTAGTGAAAAGGTGTGAGTATCTACTCCGCATGTCCGACTCAGACTTCCACCTGACTACCTCGATCTGCTGACCTCTCCACTGCACTCGAACTGAAGGATAACTCTTAGACCTCAACTATCGGACCTGCCGGCTAGAATGGCCACTGGCTCCTCATCATAAGTCAAATCCTTGTCCAATTGGACTGAGCTGAAATCTAACACATGGGTATTTCCATACCATGGACACATGGAACATCTGATAAACTAGGTGGCAATGCGAGCTTGTAGGCCACCTCACCCACTCTCTCAAGAATCTCAAAGGGTCCGATGTACCTAGGTCTCAACTTGCCCTTCTTTCCAAACCTCATCACACCCTTCATGGGTGAAACCCGGAGCAATACCCTCTCTTCAACCATGAATGCAACATCATGAACTCTACGATCGGCATAACTCTTCTACCTAGAGCGGTGCAAAGTCGATCCTAAATAATCTTGACCCTATCCAAGGCATCTTGTATCAAATCGGTACCCAATAACCGAGCCTCTCCTAGCTCGAACCATCCAACTGGCAAACAGCACCGCCTCCCATATAATTCATCATAGGGAGCCATCTAAATGCTCGACTGGTAGTGGTGTTTCTAGGCAAACTCCGCAAGCGGCAAGAACTGATCCCAAGAACCCCCAAAATACATAACGCAAGCGCGAAGCATATCCTCCAATATCTGAATAGTGCGCTCGGACTGTCCGTCCATCTGGGGATGAAATGTTGTGCTCAACTCAACCTGCATGCCCAACTTACACTATACGCCCCTCAAGAAGTGCGAGGTGAACTGCGTACCTCGATCAAAAATGAAAGACACAGGCACACTGTGAAGACGGACGATTTTGCGGATGTAGATCTCAGCTAACCGCTCAGAAGAATAGGTAACTGCCACTGGAATGAAATGTGCTGACTTGGTCCACCTGTCCACAATGACCCATACCGCGTCGAACTTCTTCTGAGCCCGTGGGAGTCCAACAACAAAATCAATAGTGATATGCTCTCACTTCCACTGAGGAATCTCTAACCTCTGAAGCAAACCACCAGGCCTCTAATGCTCGTACTTTACTTGCTGAAAATTTAGACACCGAGCTACATATGCAACTATATCCTTCTTCATCCTCCTCCACCAATAATGCTAGTGAAAGTCCTGATACATATTGGCGGCACCCGAATGAACAGAATACCGGGAACAGTGGACCTCCTCAAGAATCAACTCACGAAGTCCATCCACATTAGGCACACAAATACGACCCTACATCCTCAAAACCCCATTATCTCCAAAAGTAACCTGCTTGGCACCATCGTGCCGCACCGTGTCCTTGAGGACAAGCAAATGGGAATCATCATACTGACGCTCTCTGATGTGCTCATACAAGGAAAGTCGAGCGACTGTGCAAGCTAGCACACAATTGGGCTCTAAAACATCTAACCTCACAAACTTATTGGCCAAAGCCTGAACATCTGCTGCAAGCGGTATCTTACCAACTGGGATATACACAAGGCTACCCATACTCACTGCCTTTCTACTCAAGGCATCGGCCACCACATTGGCCTTCCCGGGATGACACAATATGGTGATATCATAGTTTTTCAACAGCTCCAACCATCTCCTCTGCCTCAAGTTGAGACCTTTTTGCTTGAAAATACTGTAGACTCCGATGATCCGTGAATACCTCGTACGACATGCCTTAAAGATAGTGCCTCCAAATCTTCAGCGCATGAACAATGGCTGCCAATTC